TTACACCCATCCAACTGACTTGACATCAGTGTGCTGTCCAAATATCAGTATGAGTGCACACTACTCATTTAGTTCATGAATATTCGCGAATCATTAACATTTCAGGAATAATATATGCCTGGAATATACTTGTAGAATGTGTGGATGGTACATGGACTGTCTGGTTCGATAGAGATAACCCAGGAGGTACTGGGGACTGGGAAACGACATCACTTGCCATCGAGTTGTATGGTGATATCATGTGTACCGATCCATCGGCGATACAAGTGCAGACCCTAGACGGTATTCCTGCAGAAGATACTGATGAAATATTCTTGCATTATTCACCGGACATTGGCTTTGTGTGTCGGATGGCAGATCAGCCAGATAACACTTGCCTTGACTCTCGAGTGAGATACTGCTGTCCAGGTAACACATTTATTATAGTGTGTATTGCAGGAAAACCGGTATACATTCACATGTTATGTTTTCTGAGTCACAAATTAATTAATAATTCCTTTAAAATAGTTGTGTCACCGTGTTCCGCGGGATTTCCGATAATTGTTGAGATGTTGTCCCGTGGTTAAAAACATTGATTCCTCGTTGTGGCATGTCCGATAACGTTGTGTAATATGCAGTATTATATGTGTAATTTTTGTTCAAACAGCTAATCCCCCGTGTGATGGTGAATGGTCACAATGGTTCGACGAAGACAGTCCAGAAGAAGGGATTGGCGATTTAGAAACGCTAGCAACTCTATGTGAAAAGACGTGCAAACGACCCAGCGCAATTCAAGCCCAGACTATTGATGGCATATCAGCTGAATTAACAGGCGATGTGTTACTCAGCAATGATATCATTAATGGATTTGCTTGTTTGAATGAAGAACAGGACGATGAGAAATGTGAAGATTATAAAGTCAGATTATGTTGTCCTGGTAAATCAATATTCACAACAAATAATATATTATGTTTTTACGTTATTTTCGTTGAATATTTGAATTTGAGTATTACTTTGAATTGAATACTTATTATAAGCGAAAAACTGTCTCGTCTCATTAACCATGTTTTTCATTTATGTAATATCACTATACAGAACAGCCAGATTGTGACAAGTGGACAAAATGGTTCAACACCGATAAACCATGTGAAGGTTTAGATGCAGATCGTGAAATCACCGCCGTAATCCAAGATGAATATCCAAATGAAATGTGTAAAAATCCGTTATTCATCCAAGTTGTTGTCGCCGCCACTGAACAACCTTCATCAAGCACCGGGCAGGTATTCCTACATCACGATGTCGATCCTGGATTTGTTTGTCTTGACAAAGATCAGCCAGCTGGTGATCAATGTCATGATTACAAAGTTCGATACTGTTGTGATGGTACGTATTTATATACAATTAATATGTTAACTATTACGTAAGAACTTGTCATTTCACAGACAAAGTTGTGATTGCTGCATTCGCACCTGAGTGTTTCTATGAGGTGTAAAATTATTTCCTGAGAGCTCTGATCGCCACAATGCTTCCTTCCAGAACAACCTGATAAACCCGGACAATGCCCAATGGTACCATCTATCGACGCTGTCCGTCCCAAGGGCTACTGCTACTATGAATGCCAAGATGATACCGACTGCCTGGGGAAGAAAAAATGCTGTGCTTCTGGAATATGTGGCACCATTTGTATGGATCCTGTGTTCCCATGTTTCCATGAGGGCGTTATTTACCAGGAAGGCGATGGCAGAAAAGAAGACTGCAATACCTGGTAGGTTATTAGTGAATGTCGTCGACATTTCGTTACGTAATACTAAAGATGAACTAGATACGTTTAGTATTACTGAGAAGTCGCATAGACCGAGGATTCGACACCCGCCTACAAATATATGGCGGAGAACCGTTCTGCCGTTTTCATTATTGTAACCAGCTAAAACATCTATCGTCCAACCTAGCGATCACAAATACCATTTGTGGCCGAGAAATGAACCTACAGTACTGGAACATTGACGAAATCTAGTTTTACGCAACGAAACAACGTTTTGTTGATAAATACGTCAAGAACAAGATAGCGGCGTGTATTTTCGGTTGACGTTGGAAAATGTCGATTTGATCGACCCTAGTAGGTATTTAGAATAGTTGGACGTATCGTATTTTTAACAGGAAAGCTGAATGCCTCTTAAATCGCTCGAACATTCCTTCACAATAGTGTCGAATTCCCAGTCTATTCGACTTCTCAGGAATGTGGGGGCCGAATGATC